TCGATCAATCCGGACGAGGCAGTGGCGTATGGGGCGGCTGTGCAGGCGGCGATATTGTCGGGTGACAAGTCGGAGGCAGTGCAGGATCTGCTCCTGCTGGATGTTGCGCCGCTGTCCCTTGGTCTGGAGACCGCGGGTGGTGTGATGACGGCTCTCATCAAACGCAATACAACCATCCCAACCAAACAGACACAGACCTTCACCACGTACTCGGACAACCAGCCAGGTGTGTTGATTCAGGTGTACGAGGGTGAGCGTGCGATGACTAGGGACAACAATCTGTTGGGGAAGTTCGAGTTGTCTGGCATCCCTCCGGCTCCTCGTGGTGTGCCTCAGATAGAGGTGACCTTCGACATAGACGCCAACGGTATCTTGAATGTGTCGGCGGTGGACAAGTCGACTGGTAAGGCGAACAAGATCACGATCACCAACGACAAGGGTCGTTTGTCGAAGGAGGAGATAGAGAGAATGGTGAATGATGCGGAGAAGTTCAGACAGGAGGATGAGAAGCAGCGTGATCGTGTGGCGGCGAAGAATGGGTTGGAGAGCTATGCGTTCTCGATGAAGTCGACAGTGGAGGATGAGAAGGTGAAGGAGAAGATAGCGGAGGGTGATAGGAAGAAGGTGGTGGAGAAGTGTGAGGAGGTGTTGAAGTGGTTGGATGTGAACCAGACTGCAGAGAAGGATGAGTACGAGCACAAGCAGAAGGAGTTGGAGAGTGTGTGCAATCCCATCATCACAAAGATGTACCAGGAGGCAGGTGGTGCTTGTGGAATGCCAGGTGGTGTTGGTGGTGCTGGTGGAATGCCAGCCTCTGCTGGCGGTGGTCCGACCATTGAGGAGGTGGATTAAATTGTCTGTCCTTCCTTTCCCATTTCACCCCATCCCATCTGTATTTACTCCCGCCTTTATTTTCTATTCACTTTATTAAATACTGTATACTGAATTTACGTGTTGTCTATCTTTACCAGTTGGGGGAGGGGGGGGGGGGGGGGGGCATCGAATGCATCTGCTTTATGGATTGCATTAGGGGATGTCCACATCTTGGCTATTGCTAGTTAAGGCTATTCGCCTCCACTTTTCGTATTTTGTCTAGCCTTAATATGTGGTAGGGACATTTGGCTTGAAGTTCTGTAGCTAAAGAGGAGTTGAGGGTCATTTGGTGCCGAGTTATGGAGAGTTGGAAGACACGCTGTTAGGAAGAAGGTGCGTGTAAGTGAGTGATATATTGAGAGGGTAATTGATGTGGTAGGTAGGGTGGATGGGTCATGTAGGATAAGAACTGATACAGAACTGAAGATATGTTGGTGGGATTTGGAAAATGATAGGTACTGTAGTGGTTTTGGCTGTGATTTCAACGAAATACAACAACCGTGTTGGGTCATGCACAGTGTCATCATGCTTTGAACAGGAGTGAGAAATTGGAATGAGAAGAAGAATTGTAATTATGTGAGCTTCCAACTTGCGACTTCCTTGAGATTCTAAGGCTTATGGGAGTGAGCGAACTGAGATTTAATTGGACAGGAATTGGATATGTCAAATCTCTCTTGTAAAAGTAAACTAGGTCCGTTTAGCTGAATCAAATGGAATGTTGGCGAGAATGCACTCTTTCTTTCAGCACTAGACACGGTGGGCATATGATTGACATCCCTTCCTCTTTGATTGACTTTCTCTATAAATGGAGGCAAAATAGTGGTAGTTGACCGCAATTGCATTTTCACTTGATATCATTGGAAAATGCGTATTCAGATTAAGGTGTTTATAGATGTGAGCTTGTGCCCACCTTCACGCTGTCAGTGGCCACCCTGTTTCCTTCTTCCTTTTCCTTCTTTCGTCCCCTAAGGTCCCTTTCATTGTTTCTGTCGGCTAATAGTTTGTCATCTTGACTGTCGAAGCTGTCCAATACAGGCATTTCTACTTGCAGCTTTGCAAGTAGATTAGGTGAATTCTCAAAACTCCCGAATTTCCCGGAATATTCTGGAATGTTCTGGAATCGGGTGGATTCTTTTCATTCTTGTAAACTCTTGACCAGACACACATAATCCCCTTATCTTGCACCAACTCTACCCAACTCCCCCACCCCACCCCACCCCACCCCACCCACCCTCCACTTTCATCTTCCTTTTGAAATCAAAGTTGTCCAATGTTTTCACTAAACACTGTTTACAATTGGCCTTCACTGCTCACTGATCTTGTTTGTGGTGAACGAAACGAGTCACCTTCTATTCAACTATTCCACGAGTAATACGACTTCAGTCCTTCTACTTCACGCCACTTGCCTAACAGATAGGTACCCTCGATAGAACCCAGAACTGCGGCATTCCTTTTAGCTCACTTCACCAAATTAGTTAAACACCATTTTCCCGAACTACTGTGCCTAGTCTAAGTGGCATTTCTCTCTTTGTGGAAATTCGTGTGCTAGTGTTTGGGCACTTTTCGTCAGTAAATCTTAAGGCATCTATGAAAGCTATTATCTCGCTCCTTCTCACCTCGTCTGCCTACACCTTTTCATTCTGTCACCCTCATCCAATCCGTATTCTCACTTTTGCCATTCTCTCGATGTTTCAGTTACTCTTCGCATTTTAGGCTGTCCAGTGACATTATTAAAAATTGCAATAGTTAACAGTAGCTGTTGCTTATCATCCTGCTATCTTATGAAATTTTTATTTAAGTGATGCTTTTTAGTATTGAGCTAGACCTGGCACTAACCTTATCTACAACCGGAAGAGGTAGTTTTGACGCGGAGCGAACGCACCCTTACTTCTGACCGGATTGGGTGGACCGGGGTGGCGAGATGAAAGGACAGCGAGATAGAAATTTAAATGTTTCGATATGGTCGTTTCGTAGCTCACCATCTATTGGTCACTCGGAAGCTAAACTCATGTTTACGGAAATAGGCGAAAATTGAAAACACGAGTTCTCGTTACTTTTACCGATCGCTTATTTCAGTCCATCTCGAACTATGCACAGTATGGCGTAATTCGTATTAATTCACATAGACACTTTTTTAGGTGAAGGTCACTTTCGGTAGTAATGGGGCGAAGGCGTAGGCCAACACAAAGTGCTTGATAATTATACTTCATTTTATGGTCACTTTGACGATGACCCGACACGACAACATGATCAAGCACAACTAAAGGTCACTATATTGCGCAGTAAAACTCACTCAAATACTTTTAACTTCCTTTTGAGTTGCTTAAATCTTGGTAACCACTCATGATTTTTTACGTAAGCAAGAGGGTGCTATAAAGTTGATGAAGCCAGTGGAAAGTCTTAAATTTTTCACCTATCATCAAGGATCTTTAAAGACAGAAATGGTTGTCACCTCTTATAAATTGGAATAACTTCAAGAATTACTTTTGGGAAAGCTGAAAAGAGAGAAACAACAACGATCTCTACTCTTTCCTCAAATTTTGGGCCTTGGTGTTACATGTCCTATTGAGGTTGCATTAGGCATTTTGACTTTATAAATTGACGCATTTATACTTCGACTAGGGGTGTACGATAGACTTATCTCCACGTGGTGCACCCCGGGCAACGTATACTCATACGGCAAAAAAAGTCTATTAAGTGGCATTTGACTTCTGACTTCAAACTATCATAACTCCACTGTAAGTAATGTTCGACTACTTCCACAGTAGTCACCTCACCTTTTTCTACCTTAGTCTTTGAAACACTCTACTGTTCCACTCCCTTTCAACTTTTTTCTTTGATGTTCCTCTCCCTCTGTGAAGCCTGAAGTCAACTAAAGGGCTAATGATGACCATCAAAAAGCCTACCAGTTGATATAAATATAATTCGACTAAGGCGAGAATGCCTGTACCAAGTNTTCTCGTTACTTTTACCGATCGCTTATTTCAGTCCATCTCGAACTATGCACAGTATGGCGTAATTCGTATTAATTCACATAGACACTTTTTTAGGTGAAGGTCACTTTCGGTAGTAATGGGGCGAAGGCGTAGGCCAACACAAAGTGCTTGATAATTATACTTCATTTTATGGTCACTTTGACGATGACCCGACACGACAACATGATCAAGCACAACTAAAGGTCACTACATTGCGCAGTAAATCTCACTCAAATACTTTTAAGTGGTATTTCTCTCTTTGTGGAAATTCGTGTGCTAGTCTTTGTGCACTTTCCGTCAGTAAATCTTAAGGCATCTATGAAAGCTATTATCTCGTTCCTTCTCACCTCGTCTGCCTATACCTTTGGAAAATATCATTTCTAATTTTTTTATTTGATTTTAAATTTTATACTCTTTGGTGAATAGTTGCTTGCGTTGTTGCCAACTGAATCTTGCCATTAGCGTTAATACAATCTCCTAGTTACGCTACCAACTCTCAAACTAGCAGAGGCCGCAATATCTATCAACGTCTGCCATCTTTAAAACTGCTTTGTGTTCAATTTCTGCTCTTTTTTCCTCTAATTACCCTTCCTGTATAATTCTGTCGTTCTTCTCAAATTTACACTTTATTCCATTGTACTGTAGGATGAGTATCACTTTTCTTAAGAAGTACTCTATTCCAAACTTGCTCTTTTCTTTAATTTCATTTATAACCATTTTTAGTGAATTACGAAAGGAAAAAGACAGAGCTTTCGGTCATTTGCTAAAATTGGATTAATCACGAAAAATGAGTCTGACAACATTTCGGTTCGCAGCACAATCAGGTGTGAATGAATAGACTGATTAATAAGTTGCAATCAAGACTGTTAGTTAGAGAGCTAATGTAGTCAAGAATTTGTGCACCTTGAATCAGTTTGAACATAAAATACAAAACTTGCCCCTGTAGCATAATTCACTTGGTACAGGCATTCTCGCCTTAGTCGAATTATATTTATATCAACTGGTAGGCTTTGATGAAATAATATTTATTTATTTCAAATGGCAGGCGCTTTGATAGTCCAACATTAGCCCTTTAGTTGACTTCAGGCTTCACAGAGGGAGAGGAACATCAAAGAAAAAAGTTGAAAGGGAGTGGAACAGTAGAGTGTTTCAAAGACTAAGGTAGAAAAAGGTGAGGTGACTACTGTGGAAGTAGTCGAACATTACTTACAGTGGAGTTATGATAGTTTGAAGTCAGAAGTCAAATGCCACTTAATAGACTTTTTTTGCCGTATGAGTATACGTTGCCCGGGGT